CTTTTACCAACGAATAGTGGGATTAACCGTCACATTATAACACCCCCACGGCTGAAAGGGCGGAATAGCAGAGAAACAAAAACGCAATACAAGAGTAAATGAATACTCTTGGAAGGTGTAAGATGAACGAAAAGTGTCTGTATTTAATGCAAGATTTCTTCAAACTAATTTGTTTATATTTCATGAATTGATAGAAATTGATTTCTAAAGTCATCACACAAAAACCTCTATGTCAGAGAAAAGAAAACAAAACATAATAACGTACAAGTTTTATTAGGCTAGTTCAAAATCTTGAAAGGCAAAACTAATCCCATTGGCCACTTGAGTTTGTAGTGTTCTACAGTCCTGAGGAGGTTTTTTGGCAAAGCTCTGAATACATTCAAATTGGGCTGATATTTGTTTTGGATGATGGTAATAAATTATCATTGAATATACCTCTCAATAATTAAGCATAGCTTAATTTAATTGGTAGAGTGCTAGATTGCTTTACGGCAAGTCCAAAATTCGGGTCCACTATATGCTGCTGATCACACTTAGCACTTGCAGATGTAAGCACCTTATAAAAACGACTATTTGGTTAAGGGTAGCTGAGTGTAGGCGGTGGGTTCTGTTGACTGATTGTTCTCTTTCTGGTCATCAATTCTAAAATAAGGATGGCTATGCTTGATCCTGATGTTTCTGACCTGACCGTTTAGCCCATGTGCCGCATAAAACAGTTTTTTTTCGTTAAGCACAAAGCTACGCAATGGACTACCTTGCGCTCTGTCCACCTCGGAGATTGAAATCCGATTTTTAGCGTTATAAGCCTCAAACTTACTATATTTTAAGAATACTTCACATGTGCTACTATTTAGTTAGAAATTTAGATGTTGTAACTCAGCTAGCTTTGATTCTCTGCAAAATATAAGTGTTAATGTAAAGGCTACCAATGCATTCTTCCTAACATTGCCTTTATTAAAATCTATACAATCATTTTCGGTATTATTATGATGCTTTATTATGTTCTATGTTTCCACCCTGAAAGAAATTATGCTTCGAGGTTTTAATATAATGAGCGTGTAAAATGAGATTTTAGGTGATGCAGCCAATCTGATTTGATTACTGAAGAAAAAAAAAAACGTCATTGGCTTAGGAGATATAAAGAATATTTTAAATTTATCAAATGAGTACTTCTTACTGAAAATACGAATTAGGAAATTTATAGCACTAAATACGCATTTGTGTATAACCGTATTACGTCTATTAATTTCTATTTCATGAACACTGTTTTATTACTGTTCACTCAAAAAAAAGGATCCATGTTCATGTACATTGTTTTACTTTTTTATAACTAGTACCACGTTGTGCGTGGATTCTGAACAAGTGTATATCGTCGCTCTCTTATATAATTATATGAGATACTATTGCTGTTTCTCTAATTAAGTAGATTATTTTTTTTACTTAGATTATAGCACAGATTATTATATACCTGAGTGAACGAATGTATCTAGTACTAGCCTATTAGACCACTGACAATGGTGATATAGTGTATTTATAAACAATACCACATGAAAAAACATTCTAATTAATTCTTAATTTGGAACATGTACTTCACTAACTAACTAGTTTATTATACACAATAGGCCTGAGTGAACGAATGTATCTAGTACTAGCCTATTAGACCACTGACAATGGTGATATAGTGTATTTATAAACAATACCACATGAAAAAACATTCTAATTAATTCTTAATTTGGAACATGTACTTCACTAACTAACTAGTGTTTTGGATTAAGCATATCTTTCTGTTCTGGTCATTTTCTTATTCTGGTGTTATCAACATGATTAAACATCCACTTGTCTATACGTATGAAATTTGTATTCTTTCTTCAGTTGGTTTGATCCGGTAAAACGTATAGTCCTCCTGTGGGTCAGCGATAAGTTTAGAACATGCAAATCTAAAACTCGGGGTTCGATTCCCCGCGGTAGACACAGTAGATAGCCCAATGTGACCTTGCTTTAAAGCAAACAAACAAGTAAAATGTATAAACATTCGTAATGCTGATTTCATTGCAGCGTCCTCTAGTGACATTAAATTCCAAATATACAGATTTCTGCCAATTGAACAGACTAATCAAAGGAAAAATCCATAATTAATCTTGCATTTATTTTTCAAGTTTATCTTTAATTAATTTTGACAGATATCAAGCTGCTTTTACTTTCACTCGATCTATAAACATAACTACAGAAGAATGACTCGTATCAACAAGGCATGCAATCCAGTATACTGGTACTGAAAAAAAAAAAGGCTTCGACGCCTACGGCTTAAAACTCACGAAACGTTGAGGAAATAATAAACGATAATTCTCTTACTGGTGAAGTTAATCTGGAATTCTTTACATGCATAAACAATCTTTGATTATTAAACCTTTTTCAAAACACTATGTTGCTACTTCTTTTCCGTGGACCATCTGAAGTGAACCCGAACTACCAGTGGTCCCTGGCCAATGTTGTAAATTTCTATGTTGTTCTTCTGATTGTCGTTCTTTTTTTTTAAGAGTCGACTATCTAATAAAGCTTTTCAACATTTTACGTTTTAAGTTAATAAATTTTTATTCGTGATATTCAAGGACAGGGTATTTTGATTTTCTGCTCTGTTTGTATTTATTGACATTTGAAGAATAGACAAAATCTTCCTAGCGCACATTTAGGTATGGTTTGATATTAATATATTGTTAGCTAACATTAAGTAGATTCTCAGAACAAAAACCCAAATTTGTTTAGCGGTTAAACTTCTCAAAAGGCCTACATTATCAGGAAATAACACAGAATTGCTTAAATTGTTACTGTTAGGATATTACAGTGGACTGTTTAATAATTTAAATGTATATGTTAATCAAAATTTACTTAAATTATTAAAACTATTCTTCACGAAAACTATTAAGTATGCGTGTTACTGCATAATTTTAAATTTTACTCTTTATGTCTGTGAATATGACTTTTCTGTTGTATCTTATTTGTAAAACAGTAAGTTTGAGACGCTAGTACAATATTTATTTGGATTCGTTATGAATTTGTTTATACCCGTTTACAATATTGTGCAGACAACAGTTAAAAGAATGATTAGAAATAGTGATAAAAGTAACGAATCACAATTACTATTAAAATATATTTTCACAAAAAATAAATTGAATATGATCATTTCATGACTTGTCCAAACAGTATGCATGTAAACCTTCAGTTGCCCTTAGGTGTGGCATCAAATATCAACGTAAGTATTCATGATTAATTATTAATAGAGAATATATACCAAAGAGGTATGTTTTTCGTAGTGATTTACTGACTTATTTTTTGTCTTACTTGAACTAGCTGGAAGAACTGGGATGCCTTAGCGATAGGATCTGTCACTTGCGTACAGGCGTCACCAAAGAGGACCACTTTGAGCTGCTCTTTCGACAGCATGTCAAAGAAACTCTTCATCCCCACGGCTGGGTCACACTGAAAATTAAACCGACAAGTACGCTATGTCTTTAGTAGATTAAAACACAACTGAAAAATCGCCGACTTACTGGTTCAAATTTACAACAAAATTTCCTGGACAAGACTCAAAAGCAATATACTTAAAAGATACAAACTTTTATACAAGTTTTATGTGATCTAATTGAAGAAATTTTTAAAATTCTTTTCAATTTCATAAACAAATGTACATCATGTTGAGAACTTTCAAACAGCAAGCCAAATGAAATAAAGTATAATAGCTGATAAGTCGAAAATCACCATGGAAGATCACCGACATCTCCACCAATGGATCTAAAGATTGATACACTAACGTAACCTATGAATTACAATACTGTATAGATGCTTATATAAGAAGTGTGTTTGTTTAAAGTTAAGCACAAAGCTGCACAATAAGCTGTCTGTGCTCTGCCCACCACGGGTATCGAAACCCGATTTCTAGCGTTGTAAGTCCGCAGACATACCGCTGTGCCACTGGGGGGCCCTTATGTAAGAAATGGAAAAGAATAAGTAATGAAACTTTTCACTGCAGGATGGGTCCTTAGAAGTTTTACTTAACTATATAATTTTACTAGTCAGCAAAATAAGTTAAATTGCCTAAAAACCATTGTTCATGTCCAGAATACTAGATATACTTCCGCAGGGTCCCCGAAAGTGTTCTGTTTCGAGAGTAAATAAAACCAAAATTAAAAGTAACAAATATTTGTATTTCTTGTTATGAAGTTCGTATGTGTTGTAGCCTACAGAGTGCATAATTCTTCTCGCGATTCATAGCATGCGCACATTTTACTGACGACACGACAGCACAAATTGCAACGTAAAGCGTTTCTTATGTGACGTCATTTTAGTGTCTACTGACTGACTGTCAGACAACACACTATTGTATTGTGGTGCGAGTGGTTAAAAAAGGTGACCCCTCCTGGCCTCCTTTCGAGAAAATTATTATCGTGTGTGCGAGAAATGTTATATGGAAAATTTATTATATTTAAGAATTAAGAGCTCAATCCAAAACCATTCGAACATGAAACTCTGCTTTCTGAGTAAATGTTTTTATATATATAAGCTACTTGAAAGCTTTCTCATGTAACTTAGAAGATCTCTTGGGATATGCCAGTTATATGTCTTTGAAGCTCCAAATCCGATTAGTGTTGAAAGTGCCTCAAAACGTTTAAGAGCCATAAAAACTTTGAGGGTGTCAACCATCCCAATTTAAGCAACTCCTAGTCGTGAAGACAGTACATAGTGATCAAGTGATAGATGCCTAGTATTGTTGGTTTGTCTGAGAAATGATAGAAGCCTACAACTGCTGCGCTACTTGATTTGATGTTTAATGTCTATACCACTTGGATTGCTTGTGGAATATGAATAATAACCAGTTATGGCTATTGGATTTGAAAGATATTTCATATTCACGCTACTTAAGTATTTTATAATCTGAGGTGGGCCGTGCGTACCCTAGTGACAGGAGGGTAAGGTTATGAATCTGAGGGCTCAAGATTCGTGTTCCGTTACCGAAAAATCACGCTCCTCACTAGGGCGTTGTTGGTGCGTTATAAAAATGACGGGAAGCGCAGATAGCCCTTGCGTTGCTTTGTGTGAGTGTGTGAAACAAGAAAACAGCAATATAATTTGAGATAGATATAAGTTCCTGGACGTCTATGACAGTTGGGTGAGTAGCTGAATGTTAAACGTCTTTCTCCATTAGATCCTCAAATAGGTTTTAACTGTAAAACATAATTAGACAACAGCAAAGATAATAAACAATATATGACAATTATTGAAATATCTTTACGAGACTGTATAGTAATAATCAGTATGAATGTGGGGAGTTTTAAGATGACAAACACACCTATGTAAGTTGCTATATTTTTCTAGTATGTATGGAATCTTTTACAGTTTAAAAACAATATATTGTTTTCATAGCTAAGGTGCTTTGTTCTCAAAATACATTTTCATATTATCTTGATACAGCGAAATTGATAGAAAATATATTGAATTCATAAATAGATGTACCACAATTTCATTTCCATAACAAAATAAGGTTATAAAGATATATATACCGCCTCTTGTTTAATAAAGCAGTAATCCAGTTTCTTTCTTTTCTTTCTTGTTTACACATCGTGGCGAAATGCGTTTTCCATATATCCACTTCTATGATAGACAAAAACAAATTATTCAGAACGCCATTTGGCAGTCACGCAGAGGGTCAGCGGTAACTTTACGGACTTACTTTGATAAAATAAGGGGTTCAAATCCCCTCAGATAGCCCATTGTGTGGCTTTGAACTAAAAAAACGATAACAAGCAACTGAGAGCATTTTTGAACACAGACAATCCTAGAAACTTGATATTTAATTATGCAATGCCTGTTAACGTTCCATGATTCAGTATTTTTCTATTTATTTCTTGCCATATTATTAGGTATGGATAAGTAATGTATTCATTACTATATTTTGCTAAATTCTTATGTCTTCCAGGACGTTATTGTTCTGTATATTCATTTTCCTTTCAAGTTAGTTTAAAAATATTTTGTGGTGTTTTCGAATTAAAAAAATCTAAAATTAACAGAAACAATGAGTAATGGAGAAAACATTTTCTCATCACCATAGATACAAGAAAACATCTCATAATTTTAAAACCTGTAAGAATCGTTACTTTTCAGTCAATATATACAAAAGTTTAAAAGTCAATAAAGAATGTTTTCTCACATTTTTAAACGAATAAACAGAGTGGTACAAAGCAAATTTTAATCTCGTGACTGCTCTGCGAGCATGCGATAAGGCCATTTAATAGGTTCGGCTGATCTTTAAGCACCAAGCTACACAATGGGCTATCTGTGCTCTGTCCAACACGGGTATCAAAACGGGTTTCTAGTTGTGCCACTAGGTACGCCCATTTATAAGTACATAAACGTTTTATGATTGTATCGTATTTGAACTATATTATTTTTAAGATAAGATGTTATTATTAACAAAATCGTTCTATTTAGAGATTAGACAGACTAATATGCAGTCCTGAACTGAATCAATGCATTCAAATTATTGTAAGTTTTTGTTTTGTGGCATTGCATAGTCCTAATTAGACTGGTATATCAAATTAGCTACATTATTTATTGGATTAACTTTTAATTTTGATCATTGCAGGCAGCTTGTTTTGATAAGAAGATATTCATAATAAACAGATTGACCACCTCATGTAGTTTCATATGCTGTTTGTTTAACTAAATAACTGTCTAATTGTGTCCCATGAGATTGGAAACTGACTACAAACTATTGCACGAAAGTTGAGAAACTGATTACGCATGGTTAAAGAAATTACATTTCCTAGCCACGACACAATATTAGGTTTGGTTTGTTATGAATTTCGCGCAAAGCTATACGAGGGCTATCTGCGCTAGCCGTCCCTAGTTTAGCAGTGTAAGACTAGAGGGAAGACAGCTAGTCATCACCACCCACCACCAACTCTTGGGCTACTCTTTTACCAAAGAATTGTGGGATTGACTGGCACGTTATACTGCTCCCTTGGCTGAAAAGGCGAGCATGTTCAGTGACGAGAATTCGAACCCACAACTCGCAGACTGCAAACAGAACGCCCTCAACTCCAGCCCATGCCAGGCCTTTAGTAATATTTTGATGCATTTTTTTAATTCTTGAAATGCATGTATTATATCACTTCTGACATTAAACCTTCTTCTATTAGATAATGTTATTAAACTTAAAATTCATTTAATGTATTTTATAGCTTAAAATGTAATTTTTATTCTTCAATTATTTCTGTTCACCTCTCTAGCTTGGCCATCAAACAATCCAAAACTCTGCTTACAGGTTTGACTTACGAATAAATAGTTGATGTTGTAATGGTGTCAAGGCAAATGTTGTAATGGTGTCAAGGCAAATTTCGAGTGGGCTATCCTAAAAACATTCTACAGCCAAAAGAGTTTTAATAGATAAATTTCGGGTTTTACTGCCGAATCACATAGCCCAAGAATTCTACGCGGTCCATCCATTATAATCAATGAAGAGAAAGTTGAGGGTTGGAGCACTTAAAACGCGGTAACATAGCGTTCGAGTTCTACCGGGTCTCAGGTTTTTACTAGATTTCCAATCAAGCAATTTGCTGTTTGGTCGACAAGAATCAAACTAATGATAAACCGCATTTAAACTATTTTTTGACGGCGTATAAAAATATTTACAGTTTTGACGAATAAGCGCCTCCACAGTTTTTCAGAAACCTTCTCTATTTCCAAGATTCTGCTCCCCATTGGCTTAACGGTAAGCTTGAAGGCTTACGTGTTAAACATCGATCAGGTTTTTATACCCGTGGTGGCGCAGTACAGATAGCCCATTGTGTAGCACTTCAAACAAACCAACATTTTAGGCCTGGCATGACCTGATGGTTAAGGCACTCAACTCGCAATTTGAGAGTCTTGGGTTCGAATCCTCTCCACCGAACAATCTCGCCTTTTCAACAGTGGGGTCGTTACAATGTGGCGGTCAATTCTATTAATATGAAAATAAATCACTTTATAGATACCTTATTTTCTTGTAATTTGCCCTCCAGTAGCTCAGCGATAAGCTTGAGTTCTACACGCTAAACCCATTATGTAGCTTTGCGCATAAAAACACACACACACACATATATATACATAAAAAAGGAGGTTTAGTAATTTAGTATTAACAGAAACTTTGTTCTGAAGCAATGATAATTTTTATTCTGTAAAGTCCTTCATTTCAGTGAATTGATCTTACTAAATATAAACTTTCTTAGTGATGCAAGATTACTCCTCCTTATAAAGATGCTTTTCCTGTTGTATGTTGACTTTAGTAAAGATAATTTCTCTCCAGAAAGATAGGAGGATAAACTATTTCCTCGGTAAAAAATTACTTCTTTGTAATAAGTTAACGTTACTTATTAAAGATATATTTATTTTCTTGCAATGCGGGATTTTTTTTTAATTATAG